TCGAACGGTTCAATTTCAGGGCTCCACTTGCCGCCGACTCCATAAAGATTTGCGTCTGATCTCTGCTCAAGTTCGATCTCACTGCAGATTGATCCAATGTTGCGCCACGATTGTGGGCTTCTACGCTGAACGTAAACCGGCTTTCCGTATCATGATCACAAGGTGTTCCCAAAAAAATCAGCAATACTCCGCATGGTCAAGCGTTTAATGTCTTCGCTGCGAACTGACCAGGTCTGTGATCAATACAGAAAGACCGGCATTATTGCAGGGTTATACACCCAACCTTTCACTGACAGGCTGATATCGCACTGTCTACACAGATGGTTGAGGTTTTGAAAAACCACCGGGCTTCCTTGATACACGAAGTAACTTTCTCAGTGATATGTACACCATAGATGACACAAATATGGAGGAAAGTAAATTGATCCACTACTCCAGGTGGCGGTTCGCTGACGGCAAAAATAGGTGAACCGTAGGTCCAGCGCTGCAACAATGCAATTTGAAGGCGCAAAGCACATACTGCAGTGTGCAGCGCTCCGCGTCACTCTATCCAATAGTGCCTGCAGAATAGAAAAAGGTATTTACAGGTCGGTACCACCCAAGGCAAACATGTCGAATGCAACCAATTCGATTGTACGGCAGTGAACAGCCACATATGTGCGGTTCGACTTCAAATGGTTATGAGTTAACAAGAACTGTTTGAAAAGAAGACGCCATTTGGCCACTCCCGCTTATGCCTAAACCGACTGCAGTTCGGAGAGCATAAAATAAGAGTTAAATCGTCAGCTTTCATCCTTTCTGAGGATGGCAACAACACTGACATCGTAATTGTTGCTGGTGGTATGAAGGACCAACTGAGTCGCATTCGGACTCTGAACAACACCTAGGAGGCAGCTTCGGTGTCGAGACACGCCGAATAGATAATGGTGAACGATTTTTCCAGCTGTATGCGAGGCACATGAGTCCACATAGTGCCATCAGCTTCTAGCGTATTTCTTGATGATATGGACTCAACTAAACTATATTTTCATTAGCTGCACATGCCACATGTCAATTCAAGGCTGTCGTTCCATTTGGAACACGTGCCTGGTTTCCGATCATGCTCTAGTGCGTGCACGCTGGGCGCTCACTCGCCTCAGTTCAAAGAATCGCCTAACCTCTAACTTCCTTGCCTGTAACTTGAACTATCAGTCAGCAGTTCAACAATATGATAACGAATTGGCCCACCAATTGTCAATGATAAATGAGGTTGGTGAGCCGAACGATGACCGGAACCGTCTCAAGTGTACCATAGGGAATGTCGTTGATGCCAGCCGTGCACCAAATGTGAGACGTCCTAACTGTGAATGGATTACTGGGGTTTACAGCAGTTTGATCAAAACGCGTAAACAGGTTCCAGTGAGTACAGTTTCAGCATGTCCGTAATTCTTTGAAACGACGCCTGATAAGGAGTCTACGAATCGACCAGGAACTTTGATGGGTGGCATGGACAAGTGGGATGAGGAAAACCAGTGCCATTGTGAACAGCTGAGTGCTATTCCAGCTCACCAGAACAAGGGCCTGAGAAAGCCATTAGTTAGCGAGACAATAGCTGAGGAAGATGTACAGTTGATCCATTCTCAGCCTTTTCGACTATCCCGTTAGGCGGAACGTTCTGGAGAGCAGTTCAGCAGGCCAACTGTGACACTGCTGCTAGCCGAATCACCTGAGCATACGTGAGACCTTAACTTCATACATCCCATTTTGAAAAAGATTCAACATGAGCTTTCAGTGTTGGAACAATGCTTCTGGGCCAGACGAACTTCTTCCATGTTTGATGAAAGATGGAGGTGATTTGTTGATTAAACTTGCTGCTCAATTTAACACGATTGGGGCAGTAAAGTGGTACCTTCAGACGGGTGAGTGTTAACTGTCGTGCCCACCTTCAAGAAAGATCAGCGTTCTTCGTGTGCCTTGTTTTTATTGCCTCAATACTTCCCACGGTTATCATTCATCGGTGACTTACTGGTCCCCGTGAGGAGAGAATCACTGAAAGCCAGACTGACTCCCGCCCTGGTCGTGGTTGTATCGATCATATATTTACTCTTCGCTAAGTGTTAGAGTAGAGGCACACATACAGACGACCGAGTATGATGGTTTTCCTTGACTTGGAAGTTGCTTTCGACTCTATTGACCGTACCAGTTTGTGGCATTGCCTATCCATGAAGGGCGGGCCGGCTAAATTCCTTTCATTATGCAGTTTCTCTACCCCCGAGGTTGTGTAGGGGTATTTGGGAAACTGTCTCCTGTGTTCCCAGGCCATTGTTACTTCATGAAACAGAGACATGACAAGTTCCCAGTGGATACCTTAAACAACTGGCTGGTGCTTGAGGAGTATTGCTCACGTTTGGTAGGAACACCGCCAGTTAGGTTTTGGCAAGAAACTATGTGGCACCTCACACAAGTGATTGCTAAAGCTACACGGCTTACGTTGGCTAGGTCATGTCATCCAGATGACTGTTAGCCAACTTCTTCGGTGTGCGTTACACGCTGTTGCTGAACCAAGTTGGGTGGAACAGCGAGCTGGTCACTTGATGGCGTGACATAAATAAATAAACAAACTGACCGAGAGACTTCGCTAGGCTGGTGTGTGCTATTTTCGATGATAGGGGCCTCGAGATAGACGACACCAATGGTTAGACATACCATCAAAACTGGTGCAGTCGTGTGGTCAGTGGCGCTTACGTATTCGGTTATTAGGACCTAGCTATTAATTTTTCTGCTATTTAGATTAGTTCAAAGCACATGTTTTTGGTGTTAGTTTCCTTGAATTCTACTTGCATTCAAGCTCATTTTCTAAACGTTACTTAATGCTATTATGGCGGTGCGAATCGTAACAACTGGATCCACCGTATTTCGATGTCCGAATCGTGGTTTTTTAACTGAACCAGACGATCAAGACGTGGCACTAGAGTTTCAGACCAATAGAGCTGTGAGATTATAACCCGCAAAGCTGTTGTCTGTGATGGAGAAGGTTTGAAGAAAGAGGGCCAATGACATCTCTCTAACCTCCGAAAAAGATTGTGAGACAGTTGATCGGGCTCCTAACTGTTAACCTGTATTATATAAGCGGCTTCGGAGACACTTGGAGAGTTCCAACTAGTCAAGTTCAGTGGATCACAGTGGTACACAAGGATTGTCCTAAGTGAAGGTCCAGTTTTATTGTAATTGCTAGTATTATGTATTTATCTCTTACAATTAGGCAATTAATTTCTTTAATATTGACGCTGGTGTTGAGCTGCAAAGCGCAGCAGACCAGTCCTGATCACAAATACTTCATCTGTGGGGTATCCACAATTAGTGCGTCGCCTATAGTCTTACTGATAATCACACGTTTGGAAAAGATCGGAAATGGACTGTATAACGAAATAAACATTTCACCACTTTCCAAAAATCCTAGAAGAAGCCACTAAAACCAAGCTTCCGGTAGGAGGAGCAAGCTCGTTTTCACCTCGGTCGAGGGTGTATATAATACTCGATTACCCCCGCCAAAATCTTGAAACGCGTCATCTTTACAGACAGCCCAATAACGTTGTTCTTATGGACATCCGAGCAGCTTTCGACTCTGTCGATCGGCCAACTTAATGGCGTTGCCTACAAAGAAATGGGGTACCCGAAAAGTATATCGCCTTCGAGCATTATATTGTAATGTCCCAGGTAAAGTGAGGGCTCACAGCAAGCGCTCTTCACCTTTTGCTGTCACTGGAGATGTAGGACGGTGTTGGCCCCTATCCCAGTTTCTCTTCAATTTTGCGATCGAGGATGTCCTTTTAAACGCTCTCGAGGGCTTTCAGGGCTTTGGTGTAGAGCTTCTTCCTGACAACCGCGTGACCTATTTAGAATATGCTGATAATATTACCATGCCTGGTGATTACGCATAGAGCACATAGGCCGTTCTAAACCGCTTGGCGATTGAAGCATCAAAATATGGCATGACTCTTGCCCCCATGAAATGCAAATTCTTGGTCCTGGATTGGCATCCAATTACCGCAATACCCCGTCTGCAAGATACGCAGCTTGAACAAGTGGACAAATTGATTTACCTGGGAAGCTGTGTCTCTGTTGATGGTAGCATTGGAAAAGAGATTGCCCTCTGTATTGCCAAAGCCCGTTCAGCATTCGCCAACTTGAGGTATCTGTGGCGACATCGTGACGTTTCACTATTGGTAAAGCGCAGGGTCTACAATACCTATGACCATGCAGTGCTGTGGGGGAGTGAGTCCTGGCCGATTCGTGTGAATGACTTGCGTCGGACTTTGGCCTTTGACAATGAATTTCTGCGGAAGAATAGCTCGAGTGTGGTGGATGAACGAAGTGCGCAACGATGACGTTAGACGTCGTGTCTTGGGTAACACGAGACTTCCAGTTGACAGACTGGTAACGCTACGCTAACTTAGATGCCTTGGCCACATTTTACGCATGCCATGCGAACGGCTGCCCTGACGCGCTCTCTGCACAAGCAACGAGCCAGGCTGGAAAAAATCGAGCAGTGGTCAGTCTATCACGTGGCGACAAAGGATTAAACCGCTGACTTCCAGCTTAGCTGTCGTAGGTCCCATGCGTCTTCGCGCTGGGGGATCAAAGATGAGGAACACCGCAGGCTGGAAACTTTTTCGGAGATGGCGCAGAACCGGGCTCAATGGAAAATGTGGACAAATGTTTGTCTTGATTTACATCGCAAACATTAAACAGACAAAAAATAAAACAGCGGGTAAAAAAGACAAACAAGATTCAAAAACAAAAGACGTTTTTGTCACTTTTATCCTTCTCTTTTTCTTTGTGAGCTCTGTTTTCATTACTTCCATTTCATGGTTTTCGCTGGTGAGATGTCTATTTTATAAACTGCTGTTTATATATATATATATATATATATATATATATATATATAAACAGGAACTAGTTAGCGAGCAATGGGTTACATCCGGGGAACGGAAGTTAAGGAAGTAAATGAGTAGGACAACCTTAGAAGATGATGCCTCGACAACATGCTTGATGGAATCCGCAAATTGTTGCAATAATCCGTCTATGGCAGTAACGTCAGCAAGCTCAGCCAAGATCAATAAGCGGCTCAGGGAGCTCAGAAGAGCAGTTCCAGCTCGATGGACCTCCTCGTGCACAGAAATATCCGTTGGGACATTTGTAAAGTGTGAAACCGAAGTATGGAAGAGTTTACCAGTGTCCAGCACATCCGTTAATGCAACACGGATCTCCGTTTGCAGCGCGGAATTCTCTCCCGAGATGAAAGCGCAATGATGTTCAACGGATTTAATGAACTGAAAGAGTAAATTTAGTTCTAAAAGTATACCTCATTGAGTGAAGACAAGATGGCAGTGGGCGACTTCGATCTAGACTTCGGACCACAATTGGTTGCACAAAGCTCGGAGAAAGTGGAAAGTTTCTTGTAAAGTGGCTCAAGAATCGACTCAGCTCTCATTGAATAACAGAACAATGAAATAAAATGGTGATTCGAATATCAACACGCGACGCATTTACGAACATGCAGGCAAAAGTATCTGAAAAGTAAGAAGAGATATACGTCAGATCAGTGGAATGTACAACGTCAAAAAGGGAAGTAACATCACGCCGGTACGTAGAACCAATGTCTCACTGTTACACAACCACCACCGCCGGTCGCGCTCGGAAGAAGTATACTTCGAGGTCGCTCGCGCTTGCGATGAGCCGGGCCTGTGAATTAGATCATCATCATCATACTACACGTTAGCTGGAGGTGGGGAACACCTCAGCTACGGTGCCGCAATACATAGAAAAAAGGAGAGAAAAAAACAATTGGTGCAGGCTGGCTGAGCTACGGGTAACGGATGGGCATCGTTCCGGTAAGCTACCAGCCAGCTACTGTGCATCAAAAAGAAATTACTATGCAAAATTATATAAGGCTAAATAATGAGATCATGGCTGGAGGGGGTGGGACAAAGAAACTCACAGCACGAACGCCACTGAGGTCGGCTCCTAGCCATATCAGCAAGTGTGTCCAACCAAACGTGTTCATCGTCTTTCGGACCCCAACCAGGGAGCCGAGACGTTCCAACCGAGGTCAGTGCAGAAGTGAGGGTCTTCATTCCTCTGGACCAAGTCATCGCTTGGCCACCCCTCCTCTTCTTCCATCCACACCCCCGGCCCGCAAACAATGCACGTCGCGGGAGTCGGTGGGCTGGCATGCGTAACACATGGCCGAGCCATCGGAGCCTGATGCGTGAAATAACGGTGCTGAGCGGTTCAGTTTCGTTTCCTGTGCCGTAAACAAGGCGTCGAATACGCTCGTTGCTCACGCGGTGTTCCCACCAGATGTGAGCTAAAGTACGAACGCACCGGTGGTCGAACGTAACTAGCCTCTTCAGGTCCGCTGCCTTAAGCGGTCAGGTTTCACAACCGTACAGTAGGGTCGAACATACCGCTGCATTGTACACTCTACCCTTCAGGGCAAGAGTGATGTCGCGCCGGCGCCATAAGTGGCGAAGGTTAGCAAAAGCGCCCCGAGCTGTTGCTATACGATTCCTGATTTCATCTTCAATCCCACGGGCGCTGATACAACTTCCCAGGTAGTTGAATTTTTGAACGACTTCTAGCTGATCCCCACCAAGGGTGAGCGTAGGAGGCAGTCCAGACCAATCTTGGAGGAACGCTTTGCACTTCAAGAAGTCGTTCTCCTGGGAGCAGATACACACCTTCTAAGTCGTGTCCTGTAAACGCGATTTCCATGACTTCGTCAACAGCGAAGTTGAAGAGGAAAGGTGACAGCGGGCATCCTTGTCTCACGCCGCTGGAGATATCAAAGGGCGACGACAACTTGCCGTAAGCCCTCACCCTGCCCGAGTTACGCGTATATAATGCTCGGGTAATATTCACATATTTCTCAGGTACACCTTTCCTGAGTAGACAGTCCCAAAGTGTATGTCTATCCACTGAGTCGAATGCACCTTTGATATCGAGGAACGCGACAAGGGTGGGCCGCCAATATATGTGACGGTGCTCCAACAACTGACGCAAGGTGAAGATGTGGTCAATGCAGCCACGACCTAGACGAAATGCGGCTTGCTCTTCACGAATCTTGCTTTCACGAGTGCCGGTCAGTCTGTGAAGGATGACAGAGGCAAGCAATTTGGAGGCAATGGAGATCAGACTGCTTCCTCTATGGCTGCCGCATTCCGATCATGAGCCACCTTTGAATATTGGGACTATGATGGAGCGACTCCAATCGGTTGGGACAGTTTCCTGCTCCCACAGTTTGATCAGTAACTCGTGTAGCTCATCCACGAGAGCGGGTCCCTCGAATTTGAAGAGGGCTAGAGGAACATCATCAGGTCCCGCGGCTTTATTTAATTTCAACTGTCCGATCTCACGTTCGACTTCTGAGCGCGAAGTTGGATCCAAAGGGACAGCCCAGGGAGCGGGGCGATCAGTGGCCGGCGAAAAATCTAACCATTCTTACCGATTAAATTGCTTTTTAAAGTGCTCAGCCCAACGCTTTAAGCGTTTTGATAAGTTGTGGATAGGCCGTCCACTCTCGTCACGTATAGTTTAACTGACACCAGGTCTCCTGCTGCGCAACAAAATGGGACGAATCTGAGAATCAATCGGAGCCCGGCATCGTCCATCAGCAAGCCCCTAATGGCAACCCGTCATCACGTGAACTCTAAGACAGCGTTTAAAGTGTTAGTACATAACAAAAACCCGATAATGCTAGCAATTAGTGAGGCGTTGTTAATTAAGGCTTATCAATCTGTGCTATGTGCACAGAAACTCTTGAGGCAATCAGTTCGGTTGCCATGATCTTGACTGTGACATTTTGATTGGTGGTGTTTATTTTTTCCATGTATATAATCCCTTGTGTGTTTCCACTCGTGTTGTGTTTGCGACTGAAGAGAACAATCGAAATGTTGGCATATCGCAACTTCTGTCTTCTCTCTGCCTCAAGGAAATGGTTGAAAAGGACCCACTGTTTTACTAGTCATACTTGTGTTGATGGTGAGCCGGAAGTTGGCAGCTGTCGAAGAGAGAGACGAAGTCAAGTGCTGCAGCTGATCCACGCTGCAACATGCGGATGGTTGTCTCACACACTAGGGTTATCGCACCGAAATGATAGATGTTCAGCAAACAACCATCAATACGGTGCTCCACACGAACACAGTAAACACAAGCCACCTCAAAAGCATATAATTGTATGAATTTAAGTATTAAACAAGGCAGGGACTAAGACACAGCCTTGTAACGCACCAGAGAGAAAACCAGTCATCCGAGGTCTGTGCGCTCAGCTGCACTCTCACCCGCATAAAACTGAGCCGACATTCAACTAAACTTACAAACTTACTCGGACAACCAAACTTACCCAAAACCAGTCACAGAGCGGTTCACAGTGTGAAATACCTTGGTAAAGTCAACAAACAGTGAGTATAATGGCTGGTATCACTCTCTGCACTTCTTCTGCAGCTGACGAGCCGCAAACACCATACCTATGGTGCTGCGGCCCAAACGGAATCCCCATTGCCACGTTCGGTTCAGATCAGAGTGACGAGATGGTTGAGGAGGATTCGAGCGACCATCTTCCCCAGCAAGTTGATCCCACGATACTTCGTGTAACAGCGCCCTTTGCACAAGGACAGTTTGAAATCAGGATAGCACACAAGATTATAACATACATGTTCTACAAACCCCAGGCGTTGCAACAAGTGGTGCAGCGCATGTACTAAAGCGGGGCCACCGTGGCGGTATCCCACCGGTTCTGGCGCACGTGCCTTCTGCAGATGAGCAACTGCTCTCTGTGTTATCCACTGTCGTTGTCGGCAAGACATATCTCCAACTCTTGCTGTTTTAGTCCCTGCAACGTAGGCCAGCCAATCTCTGAAGGGTTGTTCAAGAGACAGTCAGTATGTTTGCCAAACCTGCATTACGTCCGCAGTCTGTGTGCAGACAGCGCCTGAACTACCTTCGAGCAGTGTCATCACCGGCGACAACCTCGGTCCATACACCACCTTCAAGGAGTCAAAGAATTCCTTGTGCTGGCGGCGTTCGGCGTAGCGTTTCAACTGCTTCGACTGCCCCGTCCATGTATTCTTGATGCGACAGAGCTCTCTAGTCAATCGCAGTCGAAATTTGCGAAAATGACTTCTTTGCATTGGCAGGATCCGCGACATGTGTTGCGAATGCTGCATTCTTCTCCAACACTAACGCGCCAATGATAGCACTGTTGTCATCAAACCACTTCAGACAGTAAGTATGGACGTATGTATGTAAGGTAATCTCAACAGTCTAGCAACTAGACATAGAGCCAACAAAGTCACGGAGATCAGTGGATAGGAGACAGTCATTGCACCATAATCATCGTGCCATGGTAGTTGAAGGTGAGCAACACACTTCAGCTAATATGCCGCAAGAAGAATGGAACATTTTGACAAAAAATAGAACAAAACATTTTTAGTTTGTTTGTCACGCCGATTTTTCTCTTTTTGGTCATTTTCAATGTTGGTAGTAGTAAACATATGAATCAATACAATACTGTACACAATTCTTCCAATGATTCCAATTGCGGGCCATGTCTTCAAGAGTCCTAAGCCATTGGCACTCCTCATCTTTAGGTCCCCATCCTGGAAGACGTACGGATCCAACAGCGGCTAGACACGACGTCAGCGATTTCATGTGCTGCCGCCAAGTAGAAGGCTGACCACCATGCGGTCGCTTCCAGCCAGGTCCTAGACGAACGAATAGAGCGCGACGCGGTAGACACTCAGGTGCCATGCGTAGGACATGACCGAGCCATCTTAACTGGCGCAACAAAACCAGTTTGTCGAAGGAAATACTTGCATTTCCTAAGATGCGACGTCGAACGTCATTACTATTAACTCGATGTTGCCACCCAACACGAGAGATCCTCCTTAAGCAAGGCAGAAAGACGACGCATATCTTCCACGCGAATCGGCCAGGACTCGCACCCATACAACAATACTGAGCGAACTGATGCGCTGTAAATACGGCCCTTTAGTAAGAAGGAGACGTCACGACGATGCCACAAGTGCCTCAGATTGACAAATGCTGATCGAGCTTTAGCGATACGAAGAGAAAATTCTTTGTTGATAGTGCCGTTAGCAGAAACACAGCTCCCGAGGTAGACGAAACTATCTACCTGTTCAAGTTGTGCACCTTCGAGAGTGAGCACGGGAGCAGGTGAAAGCCAATCCTTAAGCAGTACTTTACACTTCGATAGGGCGAAGTTCATGCCATACTTAGATGCTTCAACCGCCAAACGATCCGGAATGAGTTGCATACTCTGAGGATCGTCACCAAGTAAGGCGATATCATCAGCATAATCTAAGTCGATCGCGCGCTCACTCGGTAGAAGCTCTAGGCCAAAATGTTGGAAACCTTCTAGAGCATTCGACAGAACGTCTTCGATTGCGAAGTTGAAGAAGAATGGGGACATAG